AGTCCAGCAACTATCTCAATCAATCGTCAGTTATGGAAAGATCGGGTTCCAAAGGCCGGATCCCTTGTGAGGCTTTTGAATCAAGTCACAAAAAACAAAAAGTTCAAGAATCGGCAACAGGAGATGGGCCTTGCATAGTGACAAACCAGAGATTTTTTAGAATCAGTTCATTTTTAACTTCCTCATTTACCTAAGATTTAAACCAATTTCTTATGTATGATAAGGCTGGTATCCAGGATACTTTACTGGTCTACTTATGGGACTCAAAAATGAACTTGAGGGAGAGTCTAAAAAACTCTCTGCTTTGCCACTATGCTTTACTTGTCTACTTATAGGACTCAAAAATGAACTTGAGGGAGAGTCTAAAAAAAACTCTCTGCTTTGCCACTATGCCTGAGTAAAGCCAGTGACTGGGGCCCTGGGCCAGTCCCAGTGTACCTAGCCTACCTACTTTCTAATTGGAACTCAAAATGAGTTTCCATTCTCCTAACTAAAATAATTTATAATGAAAGGCTTTGAACAAAATCTAATTTGACAACACTAATAACATAAATTCAGCTAAATTTAAACTAGTTCAGCAATATAGACTAGTTACAAAATTCGTCATGGTTTCCAATTGAAATTAGGAGACATTCCTCCGACGTCCAACACAATGACGAACATATTGATGACTATGACGATAGGAGCATTCTGTGTTGGCCACGAACAAAAACACTCGTACATGATAAATTTTTAGGTACATGAAATTTTGTTGAATTATAGTCCTGATAAAATTCAGAAAACTACCAGCAATACTTACATTAAACAATACGAAACTCCTTCAAGGTTCAAATATTAGCTACACGTATCACACGAACACCTCCATCAACAAAGTCGAACTAAGCAAGAATCGAAATGTTGCCACAATTCTCCTCAAAAATTGTAGTAAATAATTGCATGTGAAAAAGTGCACACAACTTCCATTCACTTGTATTTTTCATGCATTCTAACATAAATTGCTTTCACGATTGTAACTTATTTAGATAAAAATTTCAATAATTATAAATTATTGTTATTTTATATTTTATTATGAATATCTTTTGAAAATACGTGTATTCGTCATCGAAGATGGTCCAATTAAACTGTTCCGAGTCCTTAATTTATTGGCCGATCTATGCATGATTTTATTAGTTTATACGCTTGCGATAATGACCAGAATGCAATCATATATTACTGCATGAAGATCGGTGTTCTACCAAATTTTGGCTTGATGTATCAATCAACATAAGCTTAGTTGACGTATTTTCTGGTGCAAATTGAATTTTTCTAATGTTTTATGTCGACTTAATCACATCTTTTCAATAGAAAAAATTGACATATGAGGCAAACCTGTTGTTATTAATTCAGAAAATGATCGCCAGTTTCTGACTCGATCGACAATTCTACGGACTCGCCAGCGGACTCGCCTGTCCGGTCGGACAAAAGCGCGTGGGCGTTTAGCGTGGGTTACAGCGTGGGCCAGCCCGGCCCTGAACCTGCCCTATACCAGCTCTCCATTTAGCCACGTTTTATTACCTCAATTCGTAACCAATAATTATGAAATTTAATATATGGTTTCACATGCTTATTGCGCAGTCCCGACGATTTTTTTTATAATTTTAACTCATCTCCTTTGCAAATAAAACGTGTGCAAACGGGCAAATTCCGTCCCGTAGCCACGTTTTATTCCCTCAATTCGTAACCAATAATTATGAAATTTAATACATGGTTTCACATGCTTATTGCGCAGTCGCGACGATTTTTTTTTTTTTAATTTTAACTCATCTCCTTTGCAAATAAAACGGTAGAACGGGTGCAAACGGGCAAATTCCGTCCCGTAGCCACGTTTTATTCCCTCAATTCGTAACCAATAATTATGAAATTTAATATATGGTTTCACATGCTTATTGCGCAGTCGCGACGATTTTTTTTATAATTTTAACTCATCTTGTTACGAGCACCGTTCGTGTTTCGTGAACATTACCATTTAGATTTTATCTGATTCCCTCAGTGTACGGCGCGCACTTCAAACTGATTAGCATCGCTCCATTCCCTGGATATTTGCGAACAAGCGTAAGTTTTTACAATTACATTCCTGATTACGACAGTGGGCAAATTTAAATAATAATGAAGAGGTACTTTCATTTACCTGTGAGTTGTGACGAAGGTTGAATTGACAGTTACCATTTCAATTCTATATCTACTGGCAACTGCCGAATTTGTTTTGCGACTAATATTTCATGTATCTTATTACTGGTATGTCCGATGAAATAACTGTCAGGCATCAAATCACTCCATTGCAGTGATTGCACCAACGTTGCCTAAACTTGCCCGGTTGCCATAGCACTTTTGTTGCCAGCTTCCAAAAGAAGGCTTAAGATCCGTTAAGTATTGAAGGAATTATGGACGGCCCAGTTGCTTAAAAAATACGTTTATTGGTTTTAATTAAAAAATAATTCATGTAAAAATCTGTAATAATTCCTGCAGCAGCGTATCGATAATTAATACTCATATTCCAAAATTCATGCAGATCCGTTAAATATTGAAGGAATTATGAGCGGCCCAGTTGCGCGAGTCCGCAGGCGGGTCCGTAAAATTGTCGATTGAGTCAGTTTCTGACACAAAAATATACCGTTACGTGTTTCGTATAGCTACCGCAAATCGGTTAAATTTTCCACGGCCAGGAGCCAGTTATTTTGAAAGCTCTCACCAAAACACATCTGCCATCTATTAGTTTCGACTGAACAAGTTCGTAACATTTATAAAAGAAATGAAGTTTGCTGACGCCTTAACAACGTTTAAACAGTTTGCCGTGTATATATGTCAATGTCGCGGTGAAAAAAGTTCAGTATCGATTCATCGAGTATATAGATTATTTCTTAATAAGATGAACTTTGAAGAATACAAAAAAACTGTTTTGCAATGATGCATCAACGAACTTTGATGGCCTAAGATCCGCACTTGCCATTGTATACATCAACGCACGTTCATGTATCATTTCTAATAATTATATTATCTAAGGGGACGATAGAGCTACTATTGAGTATTGCACCGGGTCTTCTGTGATGGAAAGATGCAGCCTCAATCATGTTTGGTTGTGGCAGTTGGCTCGGCTTCTACTTAGAAATCATGGTAAAGCTTCGACGCAGCACGCGTTAAAGTTTCAGTTCGATAAATTTATTCGGGATCTTGAAGCAGCACCTCGAAAGTAGCACTTTGAGTGGCTGCTCTTGTACCTAAAGCTCACGTCATCAGTTACGGTTCAGTCATTGTTGATCCTCTTCTTCGGAGTTTGACTATTGGACGGTTATAAATAGATGCGGTGGATAGATTAACAGCATACCATGGTGGTGAAACTTTTATAGCGATAGCTACCCGTGGTACTCTCTCACTTTCTATAAACTATGACGTCACCTGAGTAAACGATGTTATGAGTTCGTATCCACTTGAAACCGTTGAAACCTATGATTGAGCTGGACTCCGATAAGTTTTCACTGCAGACAAAATGAATTTTTTGGCGTTTTATTTTATTTAAATGCTTAGTTCATGACAGGTTGCAACGAATCCGTCATTTCCTAATCTAAAGTAGAATTGACTTTGGCATATAAATTTAAAAACAACCCACACTTTATCTAACTACGACAATTTGGAATTTTGGAATTTATGCAGAATTTGTCACAAATTTTCATAAAGCATCGAACGGGTATAAATGCATTGACCAAACCTTCATTACTGCATTTCTGCTAACAATAATTAATGCTCTGTGAGTCCGACTGAGGAAAGTCTAATTCTCAGCTCGGATTTTTTTTTGTAGAAGGCCGTAGACTGATTTTCGGATCGATAAAACATAGAATAAATTTTCATCTAAATGCATTACCTAAATATTGATCGAAAAGAGGGCTAAATAGTTCCCACGTTGATTAAAATGATTGGATGTGCTACCTATACTGATTTTTAAAATGTGTTCTAAATTAATGTAAAGAAAATAGCACTTTTTACCCTCATATGATGGTGCCTATTCCGCTCTCAGAGTAGTTATGCTAGTCCGGGAGCTTTGTGACGCACGAGTTAATAAGGGGGTAAAATCAGTCGGCAAACTTGATCCTTGTTTCCTTATATTTCGGCGTCGAAACCTGCACGTACAGGATTCTATAAGAGTGTGAACATACAAGAAACCGAGATCATATAATGATAATTATAGTTTAATGAACGCATACATTATATTTACTCTACAGTTTAAAGTTACTATCTCGAGCTCCTCGGTCAACGATATATTGATACTATTTTTACACGTTGAAATGAACGTGACAGTGCCCTCATTTTGATGGTGACTTCGAATCTTAATTCCGCACCAAAGGATGGGCAACTCAGACGTCGTCCACCGAATGTAGATTGGGTCTCTTTAAACAAAATTAGCGGAGCTTCACATACACGACATACATGCGACATTCACCAGATGCAAATGATCAGTCACATGTAGCTATATCAATCGTACAGGTAATTTTTTCGTCACAAGAAAACGATCACTTATTCGCCACATGCGATCGATCACTTGTGCGCCACATGCAACCAATCACTTATTCGCCACATGCCCACGGTTAATTATTCGCCACACACATACGATTAATTATTCGCCACGGGCAAGCGATCACTTATTCGCCACGTGTGAGCGATCACCTATTCGCCACATGCACACGATTAATTATTCGCCATACACATAGGATCATTTATTTGCCATGCGCGAGTGATCACTTATTCGCCCCGTGAACATGATTAGTTATTCGCCATATATGTACGATCGACTATTCGCCTCCTGCAAACGATCAATTATTCGCCGCAATCGATCAATTATTCGTCAACTATTCGCTAATCAATCAACTATTCGCCACATACAAACGTACACGTATAACTCTCATTGGATGTGCTATACTAATTTTAAAATCTGTTCTAAATTCATATAAAGAAAGAGCACTTTTTGCCCTCATGTGATGGTGCCCTCATTTTGCTGGTGACTCCGAATCTTAATTCCGCAACAAAGGATTGGCGACTCAGACGTCGTCTACCGCATGTAGATTGGGTCTCTATACACAAAATTAGCGGAGCCTCACATACACGACATACATACGACATTCCCCAGATGCAAACGATCAGTCACATGCAGGCAATCATGCAGGTCATTTTTCGCCACAAGAAAACGATCACATATTCGCCACATACGATCGATCACTTGTTCACCACATACAACCGATCACTTATTCGCCACATGCACACGATTAATTATTCGCCATACACATACGATTAATTAATTATTAATTAATTAAACGTGTGAGCGATTACCTATTCGCCACATGCACTCGATTAATTATTCGCCATACACATGTGATCAATTATTCGCCACGTGCGAGTGATGTGCACTTATTCGCCACGTGCACATGATTAGTTATTCGCCATATATATATACGATCGACTATTCGCCTCCTGCAAACGATCAATTATTCGCCGCAATCGAATAATCATTCGTCAACCATTCGGCAATCAATCAACTTTTCGCCACATATAAACGTACACGTATAACGATCATATATCAACTATTCGCCACATACAAACGTACACGTATAACGATCATTTATCAGGAACGACCGCATAAATGCACCGGGAAAAACTGGTAACCCAGTCTGTTTTTCTTACAAATTTAACTTTGATTACACGGGTCTGAAAAAAATCTGAAAATTGTTTTTATTTCTGAAAGGGTGACTGTTTTTTGCACTGATTTCATTTTGGGTCAGTATTACCGCCGAACCTCAGCGGACATACAAAATGTGCACTGCTATTCACACACGACAAATTTTAACGCAGCGTAGAATTTTACCTGATGCCC